GTCTTAACTTCAATGTTAAGGTAACATTTTGGATAATGAGGAAATACATTTTAGAATACTTTATCTGAGCCTAGATTTATTCAGTTCAAATGCTTTCAATAGAAAATAGTGGAAAAAATTGCTTAACACAGATGAAGACGGAAATGACATGAACAACATTCAGTAACTTCAGAGGAGTCAGGTAAAATTTTTAGGATTAGCATCCCATACACCTATTAAAATACAAATCAGTGGGCCACTAAGCAGGTAATTTTTCATTCTGAAATAGGCATTTCCTTTTTAGTAGCTCATGCTTCTCAGCATTTTCGAGTCCTTCATCTAAAAGTAAATATGTTTTCCAAAATTAAAGACACAGCATATGCTGTAAGGAAATAATATTTCTAAGGGTTTTACAGTCTTTAGTATTAAAAAAATGCCTTCAAAGAATAGATAGTCTATCAGTTATTGTACTTGTGTATCTTACCTTACTGAAAATTAAGCACACTGGTCTGCTAAAGCATAGAGAAAAAATTGCCAGACTAAAATAAAGAGTTTATGAATGTGGTTATGTAATTAATCATAGAAGGTAGTGCATCCTTTTTTTCTAAAAATTATTGGTTGAGGATAAATGGTGTGCTAGATTTTGGACAGTTTGAATTAGCATAAACAGGTGCCACTGCTGAATACTTTCTTTCTGCACTTGGCCACTACACAGCAAGGCGTTAAAGGGCAGGCTACTTGGTCTGAGCTCTGGAGTTTGAAATGAACTGCTTTTAAAGTTATTATAAATGGCAGTATTGCTATTTTCATTATATTCATTATGTTCTTTAGAAATGATAACTCACCAAGCTGCATTAGAAAGGAATTTTAAGACCACGAATTCCAGCATTTGAAGTTTATTAAGTGGTTTTAAAATTTAAATATTTAATTGCAAGAAATGGAGAAGCATAGCAGAGAAATTACTACGTTGTTCTTGTTTTATTTGCTGGGAATGTGCTAGTATGTCAGGTTAGGGGTATCCTTTCTATCACAGTATTACTGTGTTCTTAAACAAAAAAAATAATCCAAATATTGTTTATCTGCAGTGTAGGTTGTTGTTGCAGTCTGAAATTCGGATCCCAACAGAAAAGGCACTGCTAGGATTAAACAGGAAACCTTGGACCACAGAGGCTGGGGAAAAAACCACCATCTAAAAGACCAGACAAGATCCATTGTCCTGATCTCCCCCACCAGGATGTAGAGAGACTTTGCATGATGCTATCAGTTATCCCATTGTTTTCTCCCTCCCTGTGTAAATCCTTCTTTTGGGTAAAGCTGATCCCCCTTCCCCAATGTAACCCTGCTTACTGGAAATATCAAACCTTTTTCCCCAAAATGTAAATACTGTATCTGAGAAATGTAAATCCATTTTTCCCCTTATGTCACCCCTGTTACTGGAAATGCTAATAGATTGTGGAATCCCCTGCTTGGAATAACCTTACCTCCTCATTAGCATGTAAGCCCCCAAGACCCTTAAATAGCACTCGTGTGTTCAATAAATGATTCCAGTTTTTGCCTCTATATCTGGGATTGTGATAGCTTTATTAGACCGTTACAGGTTGTTGCTATGATAAAATACTAAATGCTAAAATATTTTGCCTGCTATCCCTTTTGTAGACCTTAAGTGAATGAACATTCAATATTTCATTTTATTTAGATTTTTTTATCTGATTTTTGTATTAAAATAAAAATTATTAGATACCTAGTTAGTTTAAATATTCTTTTCATCAGGATATCTGAGTGTTTTGTTGACAGCAATGAAGTCATCTTCAGAGTACTACCCATTTTATAAGTGAAAAATCAAGGCAGAGAAATTTCATTCCCAAAAGTCAAAACTATGTGGGAAATGTAAACATCCAGATTAAGCCATTGCTCTTTTCAAACTCTTTGATATTTTTATAATGTTGTATATTTGTTACATATTGGTGGTGCATTTCCACTTGGAAGTTTTCATTATTCTGCAGTGCTTCAAGACCCAGCTCCAGTCACTTCATGTTGCTGTGCAATAGAAAATTCTTCATGGCATCACATTGCCTGTCAGATCCTCTATTTATTTACCTATGCTTCTACTTTATGATTTCTGTTGCAGCAGCTGTAGCTTTCTGTTCCTGGCTTTTCCAGTCTGCATGGGCTTGCTCTCAGCTATTTTGTGTTCAGGTCTCAGTATTCACATTGCTGGTTCTTCCAAAATGCCGTGTGGGCGTTAACATCTGAACAGTTGCTCAGTTTTCATGACTGGGTGCCTCACAGCACAGTTTGCCAGCAAGCTGTAATGGTAATTTCTGTAGCACTTTAGTAACCTGAAATTAGAATAGACTTGGTTCTCCTGTGCAGTTGAGAGAGTTTCCAGTTAAGCTGGCGCATAAGAGTTATAGAGCTCTAAAAAAAAGGAAATATCATGAGAGTAATTTTGCCAGGTTCTGATAACTATATGTGAACTGAAATTCTCAAAACTCGGGATTTCTTTCATCTTCATGTAGTTTAGCACTGAGGAAGGAAATTTTTGAAAGGACAGAAGACGAGCCTTGATACAGGAATAACCCTCCTGGTCAATTTTCATGTTGTTCCCAAAAGCAGTTTTACAGATCTGTCAGATTATTTGAAGCATCACTTGCGAAATATTAAATGCATACACAACCTTATTTTTGAAGATTTTTATTTTTGTTGAACCTTTACAGAAAAATTCAACCTGAAGGAAACTACCTAAAACCTGAGAAGTTTATTTTCAGTGATTTACCTACTGTTGTTATAAGAAGCAGGAAACAATATTATAAGGGGAAGATGAACTCTGAACACTCCTGTTAACTCCAACTGTTATTTATAGTAATTGTTATTTGGATTTTTGCCCCTACAAAGAAAGACTATTTTGTTAGTTAACAAAACGTGGGAGAAGTCCAGATGGGAAAGCACAGGTACTAGATGGCGCAATATGAGGTCAAGAAAAAAGAGTCACGTAAAACACCGTAAGGAAGAAAAAGGCTTACCATAACATAATGGTTTTTATGGTTTTTTCTTATTCTGCATGGTAAATTTTTAAAACAGGTACTTAAAATGGCTGGGGAATTCTGTGGACTGATCAAGTTAAGCATAATAATACTAGTAAAAATATGGAAGAAGTAAGAAATTCCAATACTGAGTGTGTTACTAGGGAAAATACCATTTCTATTAATGATTGAAACGGAAATTGGCAGTGGTAGCTCAGAACATAATGCCTTTTATCCTTGTGGAAAACATGACACCTCAATTCAGTGTCAGATAACAATGTGCCAAATATAAACAAGGATTTTCATTTGGCATTTTAAGTACTCATTCCCGCTTCTAATAATGGTATGAGGAAAACAGTTTCTTTTCTATCTGGATGAGAAAATGCCTATAAATGAAATTTAGTAAAAAATTGCATATATAAACTGCTTTTTAATTGCCTTTTCTAGTTATGATTGACTTTTAAGTAGATTAATTTTTTTTCAAAGAAAAATATTGAATGCCTGTTTCTCTCAAAGTAACTACAATTCAGTTCCTGTCTGTTATAAATCTTGATATTTATTTCTGAGCACATTTCCCTTTATCATTGTCTTTTCTTTATTTATATAGGGTTTTTTTAATGTATTTGCCAGAAAACATTATAGTTTCTTACTCTAATAAATTACTCCTAGAGTTATATGATGTAGTGTCTCATTTTTTCCACTTTTCTTTCAAGAATACGAATTTGTATTATATCCTTAATATCTGCTATGCTGTTCGTTGAAGTCAGGGGGATCTGTGGATGCAGTGACATTTGGATCATACTCTTTGTTCCTGATGGACAGTTGCCAGCATTCTAAAATATTTTTTTCTGACCACCAAACAAGAGAATCCCGGATAGAATAGAGAGATTTAGGATTACTATGGGTAGAGTATTTTAAGCTATAATTCAAGACACTGTTTCTTTTATTTAAAAGGAAATATAAAAATTTAGAACAGGACCCTTTCCTGTGCTGCCAGGATTCTTTACTTTAGGATTATAGTTCACTTAGGCATCTAGTTCTGATATTCAGCTCCTCGGTTTGTATCATGTTGCAGCTCAGCAATTAACTCAGCAACTATTCACACTAATGGAACAACTTGTGCATGACTGCTGATGACTGTGAGTAATAACTTTATGGTATATAAGCAAATGAATTCTTAAAAAATCTGAGGAATCTAGATTCCCCTCTCTAAAACTGGCCAAGAAATAAAATCTGTCATGTCATAGGTTTAAAATAATATGATGCAGCACAATGAAATGTTTATCATAAATATTAGACATTTTCCATGTTGTGTATTTACCACTGCATTTTAATTAATTTAATTTTAGATGCTCCAAGCTATTATACATAAAAATAGCTAGATGTTTGATTCATATCATCTGCTCTGAATACTGTTTTTTATATAAGGCTAAAATCTATGTATACTGGATGCTTTCATTCAGCCTGAGCAAAATAATAAGAAACTGTCAAAGCCGGAAGATATTAATCTGTTTAATGTGTATTTCAAGTATTTACTGATGTGGTTCTAGTTTTATAAGAAAAAAATGTTAGTGTAACATAAAATTGTTAGTGTAACATAAAATTGAAGTATCATAAAAAAGCAACAGCTGTACTTAAGCAACAGGAGAACATATTTTAGCAAAAAACTGATTACCTGCTTTAGTACCTGAAGTTGCAGGTTTTAAAAATAATACTTTTGAAGGTGTATTTTGAAATGTATTAATAGGGTAAATAAATGAATAAGAAATGCAGAATTTGGAATGCAATAGACCTTTTAAGTGGAATAAGTACATCCAGGATCTTGGTACTTGCTATCCCACTTGAATATCACCAGGCTAGCAGTAGCGGTAGTGAACTCAATACTATGTACAGTATAAATAATCGTCATATTTTGAGCAGCAGGCATCATGACCAGCTGATATTTTCTTTCCTCGGGACCAGTTGTTCCCAGGAGTGCATGGCTGGAGCCATATGATCTTATCAACACATTTGAGAGCCTGACCCAAACACTGAGAGAGATTTTGCTGCAGCAATGACTGTCATAGAAGAAAGTCGCCCTTTTGCACAGCAGTTATCCAATGTCTACTTTACTATACTTTCACTTTTTTGTTTTAAACTTTTTGTGAAGATCAGCCTTGCTATACTTAGCCATTTCTACATTGTGAAAGGAAACCGTAAGGAAGCAGCAAGGATAGCTGCTGAATTTTACGGAGTTCCTCAAGGACAAGGTATATTTGTACTTACTATCTTATCACTACTGTTGGGGAATTCTGTTGTTACTGTGGTGTTTTTTTTCAGGTAATGACTTATCTGCTAGCCTCATTTTATATTCAGTTTGTCATATATATGTATGAGTGGGGTTTTTTCTGTAGTTCTTGCTATGTTTTGTAGAACAAAAATTATGTTGTTAGATTATTTAAGCTTTTTTATTTTATTTTTTATTTTTAGGGTAATATTAAGTTCAGAGTAAAACTGAGGTATCACGGCCAATGTCCTGTTAGGAGAGAGGCCTATACTTAAGATGGCTGTATAGAAATAAGATTGCCAAATACTTCCCAATCTAAGACTATTTTCCCAATTGCTCCTCAGGTTTCCCAACTTACCATGCGTGGTTGAAATTTTCCATGCTTGGCATATGATTGTTTTGCACCCCTTTAGTGAAACTACTCCAGATATTTCTGAGAATTATTTCATGATTAAGGTAAAATTTTCTTACAGTAATTTATTTGAGAAGATATGGTCCTTCTATATTTTGAATAAGTTAGTGTCTTGGCACATATCAGGAAGCCTAGTAACTCTTCAGCAGGGTCAGGTTTTGGGCATCTGTATGGGAACCCTTCAAATTTTTCTGGGTTGAAAGCTCTTGTGAAAATTCCTTCTTCTGTTTGCTCAAGCAGAACTTTAGCAGTGCTGGGCACTACTGTTGCCCCAAGCTCATCTGTAATGAGCCATTTTCATTCAGTTCTTCTAGTGGGTCACAGAACACTCTCTCTTCTGAATTGTGGAATCCTGGTGCATGACTGAGCCCTGGTTTTGCACAGCTTGGGATACCTGCTAGCTTGCTCATCTTTATTGCTGTTCCTTGTATTCTGGGATGACATCGAGTTTGAGTTAGGCAATGGAACAGGAAGACTTATCTTGCCTCTTCACCACCTTTACCACTCATCTCTAGGTACCATGAACATGAAGAAACAGCCCAAGTTAGATGTAAAAGAGAAGCTATAGAAATGAGCCAGAAACAGTTTCAAACCCGATGTTTTCAGTCTTTGATGTTGGGACGAAAGCTAGGCATTTTGTGGGTGTGTTAAGATTTGCNACCAGACAGAGAGGCTTAAATCCTAAAGCAGGAATTAGCTTACTTTGCAGAAGATTTACTCAATAGGGATTTATATTGTGTTTCTGCACAAGCTCTGAAAAGCAGGGGTTTTATATCTGAGTATGTTAAAAACACCAGTTGAACTATTATGCATGTGTATTTGTGTGTGTATATGTGCAGATATATGTGTGTGGGAGGGTGTGTGTGTATATGTATAAATTCACTACAGTAAGATGGGAAGAACCCAGGAAGAAATAGTTGTAGAGGATGGGGAAGGCCTCACTTGAAATCGAGATTTTTTTTGCCAGAAACTGCTGGCTAGCTCTAAGGCAGCTCATTATGGGAAGACTGACACAGAAGCTGGGTAAGGAAGGAAAAAGACTTGGGGAAAAACTAGAGGGAAAGGAATAATATGCATCATGTTGGAGAGTAAAATGGTCTCTACAATGTTACCTGTTGCTGAACCCAGGAGCCTAGTTTGTTCATTTGTCAAATGTCCAATCTATTATCCCTAAATAAATGTATTAATAAGCATTATAGTAGCTGGTTCATGGAAAAGAACTATCTATCAAAAAATCTATCACTCAGGTTACTGTTTTGGTCAGGTAGAGGTTTATATTGATTTAAAGGCTCAAAAATCCCAGAGTTTCTGGTTTTCTGCTTGGTTCATTAAAAGAAAATAGTTAATGCAACTATTTTCTGCTTAAACTCTACTTTTTAAAGTTTGACACCTGTGTGTCTTCATTTTTCACTGCCCAGCTTGCAGTATTTGATTCTGGATTTGTCACAGTTTGAAGCACATGTTCAGCTAATGTTACATAATCTGCTCTTCATCCATTTGTTGTCATTAACAGGACCAGTCCTTGCTCTTTGGGATGCAAATAAGTCTCCTCAAATTACTATTATATCTTACCTTTTCTATACTTTTGTTCTATGCTACTGTCTCAACTCACACCTTGTTGTGGGATTTGGTTTGTTGGTATTTGTGAAATACAGAGATAGCTCAGTAGAGTTTATACAATACCATGTAAAAAATATCCCGTTAAAAGTAATATCTGAAGGATGTACAGTAAGTAACGTTAAGATACAGCTTGAAATATTGCATGATAAAATTAAATACTGAATATCCTTCTAATTAGTGACCCCATTCTGTGTTTTTTCTTAAGCAGCAGAGAAACCTTGGCAAAAAAACCAAACAAACCACAACCCCACCAAAACAGAAAATTAGCCCATAATCTATCATTAGCTAATTGAAGTTTATAGTGTTTCAATAAGTAATTCAAATTAGAGGAAATGTTACTTTTCATTTTCTAGTTTTAACCTGATTATATACTCTCAAATTTCTGTTAGTGCTGGTATTTTCAGTTTGCCTGTAATAGTAAAAAATTACTTTTTGCTACTATAATGCTTGTCTAGGGCAGAGTGCTATAATTTTAAAGACAAAAAGAGCCTTTGGAAATAATGTGTTACTAGGCACAGGCATTATTTCATATTTGCTAGATTGAGCTCTTAAGTTAAAATAAGCCTTTCTTTTATGAAGCCTGTATTATGAGGGCGTTTTAGCTAATAAGCAGTAGGTTTTGGTGGAACTCCTTTCATCAAACTGATGTTATATGGGTCCTTTCAGGTTTTGAGGCCCAGGGATCACACATTTCATGCCTGATTTGCTTTGTTTTGTGGCTTGTTCTTTATTAAATACAAGGAGGCAGCTTTATGTGTGTCATCTGCCTACTGTGGTCTTGTTGCTACATATTAGTAGTGAAACAGGTCATACTTTGTTCTTTAATGTTTCAGGAATATTTTCTCTCTAGTTTCGATAGTCAACAATCTATTCTAATTGAATCTATTCTTTGGATCTCACGTGTATGTGAACAGCTGGTTAGTGCCATATTAATTAATTAAAAGTTATTATATTGCTTATGGGGCATTGAAATATAGGATACTAGATCAGTGTTCAGCATCAGCTAAGGCCAAAAAGTGCATATAAAAGCTCTGCTAATTATAAGTAACATTAATTTGTTTATGGAAATGATGTCTGAGTAAAACTTTTCTCGTGTACAGCTGAAAGGTACCTTTAGAGGTAAATTGGATGCTCCAGGATCAAATATACATGACTTATCCGGAAGATGTTTGACTCATTTGTTTTTGAAATGCTTACTAATAGTGATTTCTGCAGCGTCCTTATGCAACCAGTTGCAGTTTTTACTGTTCTCCTCACTAGACTGCTTCCTACTTCCCCCAAGACCTACCTAAATCTTTATTCCTGCAAACTAAATGCTTAAAATGTATTTGTTTTTCTCCATGTATGAGATGTAATCAATTTAAAGACTACTATCATGCATCTTCATACTTTTACCATTTTTGTCTTTTCTAGAATAAAGAAGGATTTAGCTTAGTCTGTTCTCCTAAGTCTTTTTTTTTGAAGTCCTGGAGTTACTGCAGTTGCTCTCCTTTGGAGTTGTGCCAGTTCATATACAGTTCACAGACATCTTTACTGATGTCTAATTCCTCGTGTAAAGCAGAGTGCTCCAGCTGAGATTTTATTAGCATAACCAGGGGAACTATTAGTTGTATAGAAGTGGAACAGTTTTGTCACGTGTCATGTATATGATACCCTATGTAATACCTCCTGGAATGATGCTGGCCCCTCTTCAGTAAAGTATTATGGGTAGAATCTGTAGCCTATAAACCATATGTTACAACAGCGTCGCTGTACTGTGCATTTGCTTTTTCCTCTCTAAGAATAATACTTTGTACTGGTCTTCAGCTAACTTCATGCTCTCTTGGTATCAGACAATTTCTCCATTTTACATGTCTGTTTTGAATTGTTTCCCTCTGAGCAGTTGCAGCATTTACAGTTTAGTGTCATCTACTGATTGGATAAAAATAAATACAGTATTCTGGAATTCACAATAATAAAAGCCTGAATAGCACCAAATGCAGGACAGAACTGTGCAGTCTTTTACATTTGCTTAAAATAAATTAAAGACCCATGTCCAATAAGCTATCTTTTTTTTTTTTTTCAGTGAAGTCAGTGGTATTACTACCATAAAAGAATTAAATGAAAAAGGGATCCATTCTATTCTAAAGGTCCCTTTCGCAGGGTTATTTTTAACTTTGGCACTAATTTTGTAAACACTCATATACACTTGCCCCATTGATTTGAAAGGGACTGATTAGTTGTTTAGAGCCAAATGCTTTGCAATCAAGGACTAGAGCTGTGTTGTAAATAGGTTATGGTGCCTAGTGTTTCTTTTTTTTATTGTGTTGAACTGAACATTTATATATTCATTGTACTAAAAATTTTGCAAAAGTAAACATTTTATTAATTACTTTCTTAGTGGAAAAAATCATAGCAGATGTATGTTAGTTCCATTTTAAAATTCTGTGCCCTACAAACATATACAAAAATAAACTAACTTGCAAATTAACTTTTGGGTATATTTAGCTCCTCAGCAGGCTATCTGCCATGATACTGATCTGCACAGTAGCATTTCTTCTCTCACAGTATTTCCAGACCTGTGAAGAGTTAATAACTCAGCCTTTTGTACAGCTGTTGCTGGATACAAACTGGAGGATCAAAAGTGACTTTTAGACTCTTCCTACTGTACCAACTAACTGGTCGTATACTGAAAGTGCTCTGTATATATGAGCACTGGGTTGGAGCTTCAGATGAGTTTTATAGTTCAGTTGATTTAGGATGAGGTAGTAGTGCTATGGTATGAAATGATTTCAAAGTGTGTGTATCAAATCTAAAGAACTAATTCATTGTCAGGTGTTTTGAGTCTGTAAGATATAAACTCTGCTGACAAATACTGGTAAGATCTTGGTTTGTATGGAAGAGTCCATACTTTGTTACTACAGATAACTTTATAAAATGAGACATAGTTCCCATTCATAGACTTTCTTATA